TGTTTCAGCTCAAGCCTCTCTCTTGGAGAGTGTTTTACCTGAGGGCAGGGGGAAAAAAAATCATATTTGTAATTAATTATAACTAGCTCTACGTCATCAGTGTCACCAACACCGGAATGATTTTAGACAGCAGAGCCACCAGCGCAGCGATCAGACGATAACTGATCTGTACAATGAAAATACCTGCATTAGCTGGAACACTGTAGAGCGGGAAAGCAAGAATATTTATACAATAATGTCCGTCTGCTCTATTTACTAGGGGGCAAATATAACTCAAGCAATCTCTCCTCCCCTGCAGCGAATCTCTCCTCCGCTGCAGCCGAGACAGCATCGTGAGACTGCAGTATAGTTGGCAATATATACACAGATTGTGCTTTTCTGGATTAATAACTTGTCTGCCGGTCTGCGGACCTGATTTATTCTACAAATCAGACACCTCTCTGCAATCATAGCAAGGCAGACAGTGAGCTACAACCGCAGTTTCCTGAAAACGAGTCTCCTATCGCGCTGGGAGAATTACATTGGACCCTATGCAGAGCTCGCTCCTCTGCAAATGCTTAGGGACCGTCTGCAAGTTGCAAAATAATCAGAGAGAAATATTCAAAAGTGTCACCAAGGAAAGGTGGATTATCATCAAATTCATTTCACGAGTATCTCATCTCATGTCTTTCATACCAGATTTGATAATAATACCTTTTGAGGAATTTCCCAAAGCCTGAATGACAAATGGCACCTCTATTTTATCCTTAGAACAAGTATAAAATGAGCAATGACTACACTATAGATCATTTTAGTGCCTCCAAACTTGTAGCACACATGGATAACATCATCTAGTTCAGACTACAACTCTTACTTTTGGAATATGTGCTTAATTCTATTTTCTTTAAGATTTTTTACATTGTTATATTCTAGCAGGCCAGGTGCACAATCTATGCTTTGGAACCACAGCACTGAACGTTGTGTGCACTGCACAAAGTATACCTGCTGAAAAAAAGAATGCAACTGATTTTTGCATTTAGTTAATCATTTTTAGTTACTTTAACACAATTGTTTTATGTTCTACCTTACTAACATGAAACAATGGTGTTAAAGTAACTAAATATGATTACGTAAATGCAAAACATGGTTGCATTCTTTTTTCAAGGAAGGACTCACCTTGGGTTTGTAAAAACTGCTAAATCGGACAATTGTAGCTACATATGTAGTGCTTTTCCTTGGGTGAAATAAATGTTACTCCAATACTGAAATCATACTGTTTGTCATTTTCTAAGCTGAAATGTTGAATGACATGAAAAGGCCAGACAAGACAAAATACAATTATTCTCTAAGTTTCTTTTACATAGTGAGCTTTGCAATATA